GGGAAGAGCTTCAGCCAAAGCTCCACCCTGGTGCTGCACCGGCGCACCCACACCGGGGAGAAGCCCTACAAGTGCACTGAGTGCGGGCGGAGCTTCGCCGTCAGCTCCCACCTGGCCAAGCACCAGCGCACCCACACGGGGGAGAAGCCCTACCAGTGCCATCACTGCGGGAAGCGGTTCAGCCAGAGCTCCACCCTCAACCTCCACCAGCGGACCCACACCGGGGAGCGGCCATACCGCTGCGCCGAGTGCGGCCGGGGCTTCTCCGTCAGCTCCCACCTGACCATCCACCGGCGGATCCACACGGGGGAAAAGCCCTACCGGTGCGGCGAGTGCGGCAAGAGCTTCCGCCAGCGATCAGGGCTCATCACCCACCAGAGAAGTCACGCAGCGCAGAGACTCTACAAATAAAGGGGGGTGCTGGTCCCTTTAAGAGGAGGCAGGGCCAGCGTCAGCTGTGCCAGCCTGGTTGTCCGTCGCATGCTCTGGGGGCTCTGGTGAGGCCATGCCCGTTGCCTTTTAAAGGGGCCGCTCACCCGGTGACAGACCCAGTCATATACGGCATAGAGACCATACAAATAGAGGGCGTGCTGGCCCCTTTAAGAGGAGGCGGGGCCAGCATCAGCTGCGCCGGCCTGGTTGTCAGTCAAATGCGCTGGGGGCTCCAATGAAGACATGCCCACCCTGTCACAGACCCAGTGTTGCCAAATATCACACGGTGGGCTCTCTTTAGAGCAGTCTGGCCTCAAGGAGCGGGCACTGGCCTGGACTGGCACTCAGGAGACCTGGGTTCTATTCCTAGCTCTCCCCTGCTGCAAGTCACTTTCCCTTTCTGTGCCTCTTTTCCCCCCATCTGCAAAGTGGAGGTAATACTAAAGTGCTTTGAGATCTGTTGATGAAAAGTGCTAGGTATCATTATTAATGAATTGTTTTTCGGCTGGAAAATTGGGGCTTTGATCCAATAAAATGTGTCTGGTTCCTCCAGAAAGTTTCAATTTTTTTGTCGGAAAAACATCAGCCAAAAACGGATTTTTTCTATTCTGAAATACTGCTGAACTGCCTCATGGGAGTTGTAGTGCAATTGCTTCATGCCCTCATTCTCCACTCTAGGCTGAGCTTCTTGGTTGGACTGCATCTCCCATGATGCACCATGATCTCCCCTAAAAACATAACGAGGTGTTCGGTGGCACCTTAAAGACTAACAGATTTATTTGGGCATAAGCTTTCGTGGGTAAAAAACCCACTTCTCCCTGATCTCCCCTGTTCCTGAGTCACTTCAGTGAATCATGGGAGTTGCGCTTTGGTTGCCTCATGCTGTAGGCCAGGCTAACCATCAAGACTACATCTGCCATGATGCAATGTGGGCATGTGACTGCCATGCGGCATCATGATAGGTCATCTACAAGGTGACCTGAATGCATCATGGGAGATGTAGTCGAACCAAGGAGGCTGGCATATAGAGAAGAATGGAAACGTGAGGCTCCTGAACTGCAATTCCTATAAGGCACTGCAGTGGTTTAGAAAGAGGGGAGACTGTTATGCATCATGGGAGATGTAGTCTGACTGAGGAGAATATGAGTGTGAGGTACCATCGTGGCATTTCAGAATTTAAATATTTTGTGATTTGGCTAAAAATATGTCAAGTTTTGGGGAAAATGTTTCCGTTTTCAGGCAAGAGAGTTTGTATTTTGGGTTTTTTGATTTTTTTGCCAAAAGCTTGAAATTTCCTGTGGAAAATTTCAGGAAAAACTCTCCCCTTCCCCTCCCATTTTTGTCTAAATTTTCTGTGTGAAAAAACCACACCCATGACATTGCCATGCTAGAAAAAGCCCCAGTATAGATGCAGTAATACAGGCAAGCGAGTTCTTTCGCTTATTTCATTCAGGGAACTGATGTAAATTGACTTGGCAGAATTCCGTTATCTAATCAGAATTCTTTTATCGGTCTTTCTATCTATCATTTCAACAGATAACATCAATGCTTATTTCTAAGTGTTTTCTTTATTTTGTATCCATTTAAATTCTCACAGTTGTGGAAAATGATGGGTTTTAAGGTTTTGATGTGTCGATTTTCAGTGTTCGCAATTGCAGAAAATTATAATGATTTAACGAGTGCAGATGTTGATTTCAAAAGGGTGCCGCTTTAGAACGGTCAAAAGGCGAGTTGGCAACACGCCCTGTCAAAATGTCCAAAGCAAATAACCTTAAACCAAAATCTACGAAGTTTTCCAGCAACATTCTTCTTACTTTGCCTCGCTGTCGTTTTTGGTTGTTGTCGACGGAAATGTTTTGTTGTGTCCAAGGTGAAATCGACATTCACTGACAAGAATCCAATCCTTCCAAGTTTAAATATAAAGGAAGCCGGCGAAAGCACTCTTTAGCTGGTATATGCTGCATCTCCGCTAGCTGGTATATAGCTATGCTGACCAATCCTTTCTAGGGCAGAGATCACCACCTATTTCTATGCTGTTAGGGCAGCCCTCATCCTAGGGTATGTGTCTACATTGCAGCTGGTGTAGACATACCTAAGTGGGCTTTGGTCTTGCTGGCTCGGGTACCAGGAGTAGCAATGCTGTGGCAGCACAGACTGCAGCGAGGCCTGGCCATCTGAGTAATTACCTGGGTTAGGCTAAGCGGTTGCTGCCGTAACTAGCTAGATCAAAGCTAGCTGAGGTGTGTCTACATCTTACAGCCATATCCCCCCTAGTGTGGACGCACCCTCTGTGTCTGTGCGCTGCAGGGCCGGGGAGAGAGCATCTGAAAGGGCTGGATCTGCTGCTGGTTTATTCCGTTGTGAATCGTGAGCCGATCCCGCCTCTCCGTGTTCAATCACAGAACCCCCGCTCCAGCGAGTGCAGTTGCTTGGTCTGTGATTTCTTGCAGCAATTGGCCAGCTTCATGCACCCTCTCTACCACTTGCTCGTCCCCTTGGGTACATCTACACAGGGATAAAAAACCTGCTGCTGGCCCAGGGCAGCTGAAAAATTGCTATGTAGACATTCAGGCTCGGGCTTCAGATGGATTGTCTATACGTAGGGTGACCAGACAGCAAATGTGGACAGTCGGGACGGGGTGGGGGGGTAATAGGAGCCTATATAAGAAAAAGGCCCAAAAAACTGGACTGTCCCTATAAAATCAGGACATCTGGTCACCCTATCTATACGGCAATTTTTAGCCCCACAGCCTGAGTCCTGTGAGCCCAGGTCAGCTGACCCGGGCCAGTCGCGGCCATGCTGTGAGCCTTTTATCCCTGCGTAAACATACCCAGATCCCTGCTCTTTGTGCAGGTGCTGTGTTTCTGCAAATACCAAAGGATCGTTTGACCTGTCCTTAAAATGGACAAGGTTGGTTTGTGAGGCAGCCACATTTTTCGCAGTGAGATAGAAAAATGGCATGAAAAAGAGGAGATTATGGGATGGAACAGAGGGATTGGTGGAAATGGTGTCCCAGTCCCACAAAATATGGCAGCTACGCCGCCATATATTGCAAAATGCCCCACAAAACAATGCACCAGATGGCAGTGCAGGGGATTCGGGGATGCCTCCAAGACTTGATTGGAGGACAGAGTTTCTGTCCTGTGAAAAATTTTGACATTTTTGAAAAAAAAAAAAAAAGTCGCCTTCCAAGTTTGGGTGAAGCAGAACCCCCCAAAAATAATTTGTGTCGGGTCGATAGAAATGCTTCGTTTTCACCCTTTTTTCATTTTTCAAATAAATAAAAAAATTTTTTTTTAAAGAAAGTCGTTTTGAAATGAGAAATTACCCCCCCCCCAAAAATCCTCCTAAATTGGGACAAAAATGTTGAACTTTTTCACAAAGCCAAATTCTGACAAATGATTTGTCTTGCGTCAGTTTCATTTTTATTTATTTATTTTTTAAAATATAAACTAATGTAACTTTCAAAACAAAACATTCGTTTTGAGATAAAAACAAAACGTTTCCTTTTCTAATAGAGCCAATATTTGTTCAGATGAGCAGCATGGAAAAATTCTTGAGGTTTCGACTTTTTTGTTCTGATCCCTAAAAGGCTCATGGGATGGGAAAGCTTCTTTCCATCCAGACTGACCTTTGACCTTTGGAGCAGACTTGCATCCCTTAAAGAGAAAGCCCTGAGCAATACCGCCTGGCTTTGCAACAGTTCTGTGTGTAAAACACACTTTACACTGCAAAAAGTGCTACATTGTTGTGACCACACTTGGACACTTGTTTAGTAATAGTGTCCGCAAAATGATCGTTAGTCCAGTGGCTGGCCACAAAAGCGAGTTGTACTGATGTGTCTCCCCAGATGGCAATGAGGCCTTAAGGTCACTTGGATTTTTTTTCATAGATCCCAAGGTCTGAAGGGACCATTGGCTCTCTGGGGTACCACAGGCCAGAGAACTGCCCCGTGATACTTGCTAGAGCAGATCTTTCAGAACAAACATCCCATCTTGATTTAAATACGGTCAGGGATGGAGACTCCACCACCACCCTGGGCAAATTGTCCCGATGGTTCATGACTCTCACGGGTAAACATTTCCACCTGCTTTCCGGTCTGAGTTTGTCTAGCTCAGGGGGTCTCAAACTGGGGGTCGGGACCCCTCAGGGGGTCACGAGGCTATTACATGGGGGGGTCGCGAGCTGTCAGCCTCCCCCCCAAACCCGCTTTGCCCCCCAGCATGTATAATGGTGTTAAATATACACAAAAGTGTTTTTAATTTACAAGGGGGGGCGCGCTCAGAGTCTTGCTGGGTGATGGGGTCACCGGTACACAAGTTTGAGACCCACTGGTCTGGGTCCAGCCGCTGGGCGGTGTTAGTCCTTATAGCATCAAATCCCGCCGTAACCGGGACTCCCGGAGCGCTGGCAATAGCCGCCGGGAGCCTCCCGGCCGATTCCGGGGGACTCCCGGCCGATCCCGGGGGGTTGGCAAGGGCAGCACCCCGGCGAGGGGCGGGTTAAAACCAGCGAGCCGGCAGCCGTGGGGCAGAGCGGTGCGTGGGGTGGGGGCAGAGGCTGCAACTGAGACCGGAGCTTCCTGGTGCTGCAGCCGGGCCAGGACGGCTCCCATCCGGCTGCGTGGGGCCCGGGGCGGCGGCGCGGAGCAGCGCCCGGGGGGGGTGAGAGGGGAGCCCGGCATGGCGGGAGGGGGGTGGGCAGGAGTCTCCCCATTTCCC